GACTTCACGTCTCAGATCTATGACATCAAACTGAACAGGACTTCTGGTCGACACCCCGAAGCCAATGGATTGGCCGAGGAGATCAACCAGACCGTCATCCAACTGCTACACGCACTGATTGTTCCAAATCAGAACATGTGGGACAAGGAATTACACAAAGTGAAGGGGCTGTACAATAACTCCATTCACTCTGCAACTGGTGTGACCCCAAACCAGCTGCAGTATGGATGGCCGATGCGCAATCCCCTCTCCTATCTGTTCCCCGAGCGGTCACCTGGTCCGATGCCCGGCATGCCTGGCTATAATGCCAAGTACGCACGCTTGCTCAAAGCTGTTACTGCAGCCATGAACAAGCGCCAGCATGCCATGATCAAACATGCTAACAAGCTGCGCAAAGAAGAAAAATTCAAAGTTGGGGACTACTTTTGGGTCAAAATGTCTGAGTTTTATGACGAAGAGGGCATCTCACGGAAGCTTCTTCCATTATACTACGGACCTTGGCAGATTCTGAAGGTAGTCGGGGATGATTTTGGTCCTTCATTTGTGATTGACGTGCCTCCTCATCTGCGCACGTATCCGGTCTTTCATGCGTCCAAACTGTTCCCACACATTGATGATGAGACGTTTCCCTTCCGAGATCCTATTATGATACCTCGCCCTATCGACGGCGGCCATGAGATAGACAGAATCGTATCTCACGAGGGCAGAGGGAGGAACAGACAGTATAAGGTTCACTTCCTCTATCACCCATTGACTGAATTCTTCTGGATCGACCGGAAAGAGCTGCTAAAAAGTGCTCCCCGTGTTGTGAACGCCTACGAACGACAGATCACCGAGGGGCAGACCGCTAAGTTCATAGCAACAATAACTTCTCATGGACTGACCAAGTCTCTCTTTCTGATGTACTCCTACGATGCATTCTGTACCGACTCTGACTGAGTTACTCGCTCGAAGGGACGCTCTCGAGAGGGGAGTAATGTAATGAACCGCCAAAAACACAGACTGGGAACACTGCTGATTTCTGGGATTTGCCAATGGAATGAATGCCTTGCTGTGATTCCCACATTCTGCTGTGGTCCCAAGTCTGTGTGTATGCGTGCCTGTCTGAGTGCTTGCTGGTTGTGTGTGTGTGCGTGCCTGCTGGTTTGCATGCCTGTCTGAGTGCTTGCTGGTTGGGTATGTGTGTGTGACCCGCAAGGGTACTTGTTGGTTGCAAGGCCCACCGGGCCGGTACTTACCTGTGGCCGTGACTCTGAAGGGTTGCAGGGGGGTAAACACGCCGGTAGCGGGGAGTAGGCCCACGACACTTGCAGCAGCTGGGGAAAAACACTCAAGTAGCAGGTAGGCCGAGCAGAAGAAGACAAAAAGTTGGCATTTTTAGAGGCCCAGTAGCGGTAGGTTAGAGGTAGGCCGGTACCAGCCCAAGTAGCCCGGGTCTAGGGCCTGTGCGGACAATAACAGAGCCTGCAATGATGTTTCCCTCCAAAAGGGAGGAGGTACCGGTTGCTGGGAGGCCGCTTGGTCTAGGAAGTCACCGCCCAGGAGGCCGGTAGGCCGCTATATCTTCAGGAAGAGCGGAGAGCTCTTCCTCATTTGCGGTGTGCAAGGATTGGCGACATGCTGCTGGAGGTACAGCGCTGCTTGGAGGGAGAAGGCCCGCTGGGAGCTCAGCCTGGCTATGGCGAGCTGCCCAGCTTGAGGAGGAGGAAGAAGGGGGCATGGTAGGAGAGTGGCGGGGCACTTACCTGGCCATGGTAGACACCATCTTCATCACCTTGTTGGGCGCTGCATCTAGAAGGCCCCAGTTGGGGTAGTGCGGCACCAAGGCAGAGTCAGGCATAGCGGACCAAGTCAGCAGCACCATAGCTGCTCTGGGTTGTCCTTTGCACAGGAGGGCAGACCCCTCTGTTGTCCGCCATGGCCTATGCATGAGAGAGGAGGTTGAAGGAGGGAAGACATAGCTATGGTGGACTTGTTGTTGTTGTTGTTGTTGTTAGTTGAGTCAGCAGTAAGGGGGGGACTTCGGACATTGATTCTGGTTCATCCATTCATTGTTATTATTATTATTGAGAGAAGAATAAGATTGGTGAAGAGAAGGAGGAGGAGGAAGGTGGAGAGAGAAGGGGGAATTGTCATTGGTCTTGCTGGTGTACTTCTTCTTCTTCTTCTTCTTCTTCTTCTTTACCTCTCCTCTGGTCTTTATCTCTTTGCAAGTGCTTTCATTTCTTTCGCAATTGGGTGGCATTGTCTTTCATTGTGAATTTGCACTTGGGAAATGACCAGGATCTTAACATTAGCCTTCCGCTGCGCTATCTTCTGCTATGTGAGAGAGGTCGGTTCTTGTTCTGGTCTGCACCGTTACGGTATGCAACAGGTGTCGACCCTTGATTGTAGCCACTTCACCGTTGGTCAAAACAACTTCGGCCCACTTTTCTCTCCCACTTTGCTCTCTCTTAGGGTATGAGATTGCTATTTTCTGTTACTCTATTACACTATGGTTCTGAGTAGGTTCTTCCTAACTGTCACACCCAAATTTCTTTTCTATTCTAGGACCTGTTTGTCCTGTATTACCTCCTTCATGTGGTTGTGACCTGTCTCCTGCACATACACACTTAAACCTGTGTAAGGGGTGATTGATTGGGTGGGTGGTCTTTGCTGTGGATGGTAAGCTTGACTATTATCTGGTTCTTCACTTACAGTTCCAAACACCTTGAACTAATGTAGTGAAAACACCTCTGCCTGTTCCTGGAACTAATGTAGTGAAAACACCTTTGCCTGTTACATTTTACAGCTCTCAAGGTGGTTATTGTCTTTGATGCTGTGCTGTCGGGCCTTCCCTCTCACAGGGAGGAGATAAACAAGTGAGTCTCCCCTTTATCCTTCAGTCCCAATCAATGGCCTCATTTTTTGATTTGCCGTTTTCCTGCAAATGTCAATTCTGTTACGGACTCCGCCAGGGCTCGATCCCTGGTCTATCTTTTGCTGTTTCGGCTGAATCCCGTTTTCGGCCTGGCACCCTTTTTCCAAACCCCTCCTTTGGTACCATAGGATTTTGGACAACTGGCGCCATGCTGCAATTCGGGAGCCACTTTCAAATACCACATTTTTCAGTTCTGCCCTCGGGGCCTTTGCAGAAATGCCTCTGGTACCGTACGTGTCACCGGTACTTATACTGGCTCCCCGTACGGTATGGGGACCAGTCTCGTACCAGTTTTCTGCTGTTGTACTCGTACTCTGTGTGACTTGCTGTTTGGGCCTTCGAAACCAAGACTTCGACTTTGTGCCTCAGCCTCTGGTTTGCGTCCGGTCGAGTTCAGTCGCGTGAGTGAGTGAGTGTGTGTGTGTGCTCTCACTCTCTCTCTCCCTCTGCTCCCTCCTC